GCTTCTCAGCATTAGCCGGGTGCAGGTTCTGTCCCCGCGTGAGCCCTGTGCTGAGTTTTGCCTGCTGTCTCAGCACAGCATTTCTAGATTCCTGTATTAGGGGCCTCTAGCTAGTGCCCTTGTGGAGCTGTTGAAATTGAATGGTGTGCTTATGGGCACATACACAGCTGTAGGGAACAGGCCCTTCTGCAGTCTCTGAGAAGCCCCCATGTAGCTGCTCTATTCTCTCAACAGTCCCTGTGCGCTCAGAGGCTTCTGCTTCGATGCTGGGCTGCCTAGGTCTGCTGTCTGACCTCAGAGCTTACAGCTGGGAAGAGGAATGCAAGATCAGATATGCTAGACAATGTGTCTAAGTTCCTTAGAGGAAAGAGTGTTTCTTAGAGTGTGGACCACAGAAATCAGTAACATCAGACTCACTGCGCTGGGGCTGGGGTGTGTGAATCTGTTTACATTTCTGATTCTCGGGCCCATCCCAGGTCAAAGGGCCCACAGTCACAGGGGCCAAGGCACCAGCATGGCTGGTGAACTCTCCAGGTGATCTCATGGTGACAAAGCAGTGCTACACCAGTGTGACCCATGGCCAAGCGGTATCCACATCACCTGGAAGTGTGTTGGAAATGCAGCTTCTCAGGCCCTGCCCCAGACCTGCTGATTCAGATTCTGGGGCTGGGGCCCAGCCCCATCTGGGTTTTGAAAAGCCCAACAGGTGACTGTTTTACAGAAGCACCGATTTAGCTGGAGAGGGCCACAGCTGGATGAAGTTGGTGCACAGCTGCAGGCAGATGGTCCCAGTGAGGATGGAAGGTGTTATTTATGCTGCAGCTTGCCCCGAGAGGCAGGACGAGAGGCCAGTAGTTCCCCAGAGGCAGGTTTCTAAGAACTGCAGCAATCCTAAGGGGGCCCTCTCCAGAGAGTCCCTGTGTCTGAGTCCCATGGTTGGAAGTGGGCATAGAACTGGGGACATGCCCTGGCCTGTCAGAGTGCAGCAGTTACGTTAAGCATGCCCATGCACCTTTTTTCTTTGTGAAAGAGGCAGGAGAATGGCGCTGGTCAGGGTGGAAGGTGTGGTGCTCGCGGATGCCAGAGAGCAAGCAGGTCTGCTGGATTGTGACTCACTGTGTTCCTTTCTGTCACAGAGAGTGGGGGCTCGACAGGGTTGGGAGGGGAAGGTGAGGTCTCCTCTAGAAGTGCTGCCAAGCCTGGATATGGCAGCCACGGGGTGCCTTGCTCTCTCTGGGGACAGTCCCTGGTGGTGGCCTCTTTTGAGAAAACTCAGAAGCCGAAGTTACCAGAAGACTGGGCAGTTGGCAAAAGGGAGCAGAATGTAGGTTCTGTGAGTCCGGGAGCTGCACACTGGCCCTGCAGCCTCCTAGAGCACGGATCGTTGGGGAGGGGAGAGGCAGGCGCTGGGAGCTGCGTCCACTGAAGATCACCCCAGTATTTGGCTGTGTTTACTTTTCTTCAGGGGCTAAGTAGGCAGATAAGCTGCAGGGCTCTTGGTCTGGTAGATGTGTTAGGACCCTCGCTTGAATCTGTGGGGAAATGTACACTGGGTTGTGGCATTTAGGTGGGGGACAGCTGGTCAAATGCCTGTACTTACAGTGGCACTTGGTACCTGATGTCGAGCCAGGGAGATGTCAGTGTGACAGTTCAGGAGGGTCCATCACTGGTCCTTTTGTACTGGCTACTTGGAATAACACAAATGGCACACTTACCACATGGGTCTGTGCACATGAAACAAACCCGAGCAAGCGCAAAGGTGTTTGATGTCGGTCAGAATCGCAGGAGATCTCAGTGGGCTGGAGCAACAGGCAGAACCCAAGGGAGAAATTTAACAGGAACCTGTAGAAGGTTTCCCACATCCAGAAAACCCATGGGTACCAATCTAGGGAGGTGGGGAGCTGCTTCCGTGGGAGGAAGGAGGTGACAGTCCTGCCCTGTGCTCTTCAGACCACACCTGGGGCCTTTGGTTCCGAAAAGAGCTCAGAAAGAGAGGGGAGTGGGTGCAGGCTCGGAGCTATTTCTTGTGGGAAATGGTGGGAAGAAATGAGGCTGTTCTTTCAGAGGAGGGTGTGTGTGGGGAGAAGGATTCTGCCTGCCCTGTGGGGCCCTCCAGGGTAGAGCTCGGTACCAGGAGGCAAATTTTGACTCTTGCAAGGGAACTCCTTAAAAGCTGCTGCAGGAATGAGACCATCACCCTGTGTGCAGGACCTGGCCTGCAGACCCTCCAGGCCTGCATGGGGCTGCCTCGAGCTAAACAGACCCTGTGTGCATTTAGTCTTGGAAGAGCAGCCACCACTCCGAGGGGCAGGAGGGGGTGGCCTCAAGTGAGCTCAGAAATCCCCACCTGAATTGGGCCTTTTGAAAGTTGGTGTTTTAAATAGGCAGTATGTGCACATGGCAGGAATGCGAAGTGTACGTTTATAAACAGGATGTCCCATTCTCTTGCAGAGACAACCAGTGTTACCCAGTTCCTTGTGTACCATTCCGGGGATGGTCCATGCATGTATATACATAATGAACCACTTAGTTTGTATGTTTCTGGGTGTTCTAATTAGCTTAGTGCACTCACAGCAGTGTGCCCTGATTAATAATGATGGTCATTTCCTATCCCCATTTCTTATCCCCATATATATATAGAAGGGGCTAATTCTGAAAATAGCTGCAGAGTATCCACAGTGGGGATCTGTTGTGATGTATTTAACCAGCCTCGTTGGTGGATGTTTAGGGGTTTGTTGTTGTCACAGATAATGCTGCAGTCTGTTTGTCATTTCACAGGTGTGCGTGTGCCTGGGAAACAAATTGCTAGGAGTAGAGTTGCTGGGTCAAAAGGTTTATCAGTTTTAATGTTGACATCTCTATTTTCAAGTGGTGATTTCTTTAGCACATTAATGAAGGGGAACATCTTTAGTTCTAAAGCTGTCACTGCATGTCATTTGACACTTTCTCAAGTAGTTATTGATCTTTTTCTTACTGTAAAACTTCCTAAGTTTGTCATTTCTCTTTATATTATTTTCCTTATTTGTTTCGTATCTTGCATAAATTGTACTTTATGCCTTTCTGGTTTGGGGCCGCGTCTTACCTTTGGCCTGGCTGAAATTAATTTGCTGTAAGGAATGGGTTGGTGTCCAGCTTTTGTTCTTCCAGGTTTTTTCCCCCACCCTGCCTGACTGTGGATGGGGCCTTTGGCCTCATTCCTCTGGGAGGAGATGAGGAGTGGAGAGTGGGTCTGTGGTGGCTAAAGTCACATCTCCAGAGGGGAAGGTATCAGAGACAGTTGCAGCCCACCCTGCTCTCCTGTGGGGCAGTTCCTCCTATCTGAAGGGTCGGTCCTGGCGCAGCCATCATTCACTTCCCCCAGGCTCCTTCCTCACCAGTGACGTCTGAGGATCTGGCAGAAGCTGGGCAGAAGGGTTGGGCTGTGGGCAGGCCCGGGAGAGCTTTGTGCTGACGGTCCACCCAGCAGCAGGGATGTGAGTCATACCCTCTCCAAAAGCAATACCACTGGGGACCTTAACCACCACTTGCCTAGGGCTTCAGGAAGACCAAAAGCTGTGCAAGGGGAGAAGGGTCTTTGGTCCACACCACAGGTAGCCAATTCCAGCTTACTCCAAGGCCACTAGGCTCATTGCTTTGCCTACAGTCACCTCTGGACCCACTGACCAAAACAAATGACCCCATAGGGCTGAGAACCAAGCCCACCTGTGGGGACCAGTGGCACCTTAAGGAAGTCCTTCAGCTTCCTTAAAAACAACATGCCAAGTTCTTCAGGGTAGATACGGAGGCAACTAGAATCCTGCAGGTGGATACAGTGCCCAGAACAAGGGTTATCAAAGTGGGGTCCCAAGACCAGTAACATCGCCTGGGAACTTATTCAGAATGCAGGTTTTGGCTCTACTGACTCGGAAACTCTTGGGGATGGAGCCCAGCAATGTGATTCCCTCCAGCTGATTCTGATGCACATTGCAGTTTGAGACCCAGTGTGTAAGAAGCAGCAGCTCACCCGGGGCCAGCATGTGTGACTGTTGAGGAAGCCTACGGGCGTCCTCCCCTTCCTTCGCCTGCCATTTCGGTGCCTCTGCAAACTGCAGAAGCAGCTGCTATTAGCAAGAGTAGGCAGGCTGCATGGTAGTCTTTGCATGGCTGGTGTCATCGTGGATCCGTGTCCCTTGTGGGCAGGTTAATTGGCACGGGACACTGCAGAGGGATCAGTGTACAGAGGGACTTTGTGAGAGCAGGTGTTCTACCTGGCACCAGCAGGCAAGAGTCCTGGGTTCCCAGCACTCTCCTTCCCTTACTGACAGATTGCAAGTCGCTTACTGCCTTCTCTCAGATACAGGGTGGTGCGGCGTCATTTGCCCTGATTCTGACCCTGCATCATATGAGCCTCCTGAGGGCCCTTCTTGCTTCTAGGAATAATGATTCCATACCTGAGCAGGTCCCCTTGCCAGGTGAACCAGAGGTTGAGGAATGGAAAGTGTAGCTTGGGTCAGATCCAAGCTGGGAGCTGTGGACTGCTCGGGTCTGTAGGTTGGGCCCCAGGACGTAGGGGCCTCTGGCTTCCCATTCCCGGATGGATGGTGATAAGGACACAGGAAGATAAATACAGACAGACATGGAGCCCTGAGGATGAGGCAGTGCATGCCTTGGCTCTGAAGTTGGAGGACAGGTCCACACACACTGTGTCGTCTGCAGAGGCGGGCAAGAAGCTTGGGTGAGAGGGGTTTTCAAGGAAACTGACAGGCTCGTGGGTGGCAAATCCTCCTGCAGCCGTGGGCAGGGCTGGATGTGGGCCTGGCACAGAAGTCGAGTGGCACACTGTTTCTAGCGAGAGGCCCTGGCAGGAGAGGACAGCCCGGGCTGCCATGAGCCGGGCTGCTGCAGCTTCCCCTCCTGGGGGGTTCTGGTTGCAGTTGTTGCTGTTCTCTTGGGAAGCTGCCTGGCTAGCCTGCTGTGGGCTTCCAGGCAGGGCCTGAGTGTGCTTTCCTCTTCTCTTCCAGATCCGACCATGAGCTATCCCGGCTACCCCCCGCCGGCAGGGGGCTACCCACCAGCTGCACCAGGTAAAGGGGTCTGGGTGGGGCTGGGATGGACGCCCATCTGTGCGGTGGCAGGAGTAGAGAGGGGAAGAATTGCACTTTCCTCACTCCCCAGGCTGCCCAACAGCCCAGCCCAGTGGCTGAGCAGAGGGACCCTCATGTGGGGCAGGGCTGGGCAAGAGCACCCACACTGCTGGGGCTGGGAAGGCCTGCCTTTGGAAGGCCCCAGACCAGGCTGGGACTGGGTCTCTTGCCTTTCTGATAACAGTGGGCACATTCCTTCACTTCTGAGACTCTTTTCTTTGCACAATGGTTTTGAGCATCTCTCCCTTCCTCCTTGGGCTGTCCTGGATGCTGGTGATGTGGCCAGGTAAAGCCTGTGGCACCGTGTCCTTCACAGCACTGTTGGGCAATGATTGCCCCTTGTCACTTCTCCTACCCTGTGCTGAAGGTGTGTGGTTTCACAGCAGTGGGGGTCACCTCTGCTGAAGGAGTAAGTGGAGGGAGATGCAGGGGTCAAATGACACTCGCTGTGGCTGCTGGGAGCTGGGTGACGGAGTGAAGCTGCACCACGAGGCCGGGTGGGCAGGACCCGGCCCCAGCTGCGATGCTTCTCTTCACTCTTAGATGGCGTCTTCTCTGGCCCAGGCCCCTCCTAGTTTTCCTGCAGTTTTGCCTCCATGGTAGGACAGGAAACATGGGGGCCCTGGGCCAGGGGAGACAGGCTGGTTTTCCTGAGGGTGCATGAGCTGCTGGCCCCACCCCAGGGCACTTGCGCGCATCATTTGTTTCCTCCAGTCTGAGGACCCAGGGCCTGTAGGTCATTCGGACCCTCCCTCTTTTCACAGATAAAGAACAGGCCCAGCAGGTGAGTGGCCCAGCCACTGTCCCAGAGGATGTCAGGTGCTGAGCTAGGCCACCTCCCTCTGAACGAGCCCACCCCAGGTGTGCCAGCGCTGGCCTCTGTCTCCTCTTCTCTACTAGAAATCCTGCCACTGCCGCCTTCGCCAGCACAGCTGAGCAGCCCCTGAGCAGCAGGAGAGGGAGGAGGCGGGGGTAGGGAAGGTCTGTCCCGGGTTCCCAGAGTCCTAGAGCTGAAGAGCCAGTTTGAGGCTGTGTGGATAGGAACACATCTCTCAGGCTTGCTGCCCTGCTGCTGGTCTCAGTGACAGGTCACGTATGAGCACCTGTTGGGCCCCCAGCTGAGCCCTGCACAGTTTAACTCTGTCCTCATTGCAGCAGTTTGAAGCACACGCTGATCATTATCCTACTTGTCCGCTGGGGAAATGAACCTGGAGCAGGGGTGGCCTGGCCCCAGGGCACACACCCGTCCTGCTGGCTTCAGAGCCCGGCTTTTCACCAGTTTCCTCCTGTCCCTGTGGACCAGTATCTGTGTTTTCCATGGCCCAGCCCCATCTCCCTTCAGCCTTCTGTCTGCTTCTCCCTGCTGTTTACACACTGTAGCAAATGGCCAAACTGGGAGGACCCCTGCCTGCACGATGCATTTGCATCACGTGTGAATTCTCAGAGCTCCCTGCACTCGCTGCTGTCAGGGGCTCAGCGTGGTGTCCCACAACAGTTGTCTTGTGTCTGTCCTCCCACCCCGTGACAGTGAGCTTGGGAGGGCAGAGCCTGCCCTGAGACTGCCTTACCTCATTAATATCTTACAGACGGCCTTTCCTCCCTGGAAAGAGGGGAAGGCTTCCTCTTCTCTTCCTTGTCCTGCCCTGGCGTTTCCGAGTGGCCTGTAGTGCTGCCCCGAGGCTCTGCCTAGCACCATTTCCTGACCACCTGGGGGCTCACATCTCTGCCCTTCCCCACCGGCGGGAACGGACTGGGCTGAAGGCTTGGTGTTGCTTTCAGGTGGCGGTGCCTGGGGCGGTGCTGGCTACCCTCCGCCCAACATGCCCCCCATCGGACTGGATAACGTGGCCAACTACACAGGGCAGTTCAACCAGGACTACCTCTCGGGAATGGTGAGTGCAGCGCTCCTGCAGAGGCAGCCCCTGGGCACACGCGGTGGCCAGGGGGATGGGGCTGCTGGCTTCCTGGGGCTCCAGAGTTGTCTGCGTGTTCCCCGTGGTGTGGAGTGTGCTGAGCAGTACCTCGGAACACGGGGATTTTCACCAGGGTTCTGCCACCTGGTCGCTGTCACTCTCTGGGTCTCATCCTTCCTGTCTATAAAGAGGGGGAGGGGAATGCACTGGACAGGACGGTCTCCCAGGTCCCTTGAGCTTTGCAGGGTTGGGAAGGGTGTGGTGCCTTCACGGAGCATTCGTAGAGCACCTATTGTGAGCTCAGCGTATGGCCGAGAGGGCAGGAAGGGTGTGTGCATGCGTGTTTGTGTCTGCGTGTGAGTGTGCATGTGTGTGCCATGTACCAGTGTCCATGTCCGTGTGTATGTGTGTTTACTTGTACATATGGTGGGCTTTCCAGTTGGGCCTGGCTGGACATATGGCAGGTAACTTGGGAAGATATGCTACTTTAGTTTAAAAATAATATATTTTATAATCTGAAAACAAACGTGCTTAGTGGAAACAGTGTAAGCAAAACACACCCGATGTGTGCCAGGCCCAGTTCTAGGCACTAAGGATATGTGAATAAACAAACAAAAATCTCAGCCCTGTCACACTTGTTATCCCCAGGAAGAGAGAGACAGTAGCCTAAGTCCACTGTGGGCGTTACTGAAAGTGTGGGTGCTGTGGGAACGAGGCGAGTAGGGTGGAGGGGTTGGAAGTGTGAGTGGGGGAATGTGGGGAATGATTTTAAGTTGGGGTCAAGGCGGGCCTTGCTGAGAAGGGACATTTGAGCAGAGATCTGCAGCAGGGAGGGGTGTGCTCTATGGATGTCTAGGGACCCTAGCGCCCAAGGTACCAGGGGGCTTATAGGAGGCCCCTGCGGCTGAGGGGAGAGGGAGGGGGCCAGGTGAGAGACAAGGTCTGGGGTCCAGCTCACACAGGCTGTAGTAGGCCAGCCATGGTAAGAATTTAGGCTTTTATTCTGGGTGAGTCCACCTGAGCCACACTGGCCAGAGGGGTCTGTGGCTAACAGGCTGTTGTGATGGGGCCGCTGCCCCCCTGCCTACGGACAGGGCCCCATGCCTTCTTGGGCCGGGAGCTCTTACCTTCACTCAAGTGGTCTGGGATGGAAGGGGCAGCTATTTGGAAAAGGAAGGCTATCTCCCCTGCAGAAGAGGTTGAGGATCTCTGGTTTGGATCCAGAGAGATCTAAGCTGCACTGTTTATTGGCTGTGTAGCTTTGAGCAAGTAACTTCACCTCTCTGAACCCATTTTGTCATCTGTGAAATGAGTATAAAGCTACTTGGTGTTCACAAGTGGAGACGCTCTGAGAATGACTGCTGAGCTATGAAAAGAGCTTGGCTTCAGCGGGGCCACAGGTGAGCTCTGAGTGAGGCTTCTGGGGGCCATTCAGGGCTCAGGTCAGGGAAAGGCAGATGGACAGAGCGTGGCTGGCCCCCCTGGGCCCATTAATCTTAGGCTCTGCTTTGTGTACTTTCAGGCGGCCAACATGTCTGGGACATTCGGAGGAGCCAATATGCCCAATCTGTACCCTGGGGCCCCTGGGGGCGGCTACCCACCAGTGCCCCCCGGGGGATTCGGGCAGCCCCCCCCTGCCCAGCAGCCTGTTCCTCCATATGGGATGTACCCACCCCCTGGAGGAAACCCACCCCCTGGGATGCCTTCGTATCCGCCCTACCCAGGGGCCCCTGTGCCGGGCCAGCCGATGCCACCGCCCGGGCAGCAGCCCCCAGGGGCCTACCCTGGGCAGCAGCCAATGACCTACCCTGGGCAGCCACCAGTGCCACCACCTGGGCAGCAGCAGCAGCCGGTGCCAAGCTACCCAGGATACGCAGGATCTGGGACCGTCACCCCCGCTGTGCCCCCAGCCCAGGTAAGTCCAGCCCAGTGCCACCCCAGATCCTAGAGACATGTGGCCCAATAGGTGGGGGGACGGGGAAAGGCTCAGGCCTCCAGCTATACCTTCTTATTGTAACAAGAGTGTCACTTTCTCCCAGATTGCCCTCCTGGGTGTACCCCCTAAGGCCTAGGGGAGCTACCCTGTTTCTCCAGGTTTGGTTAGATGTTCCAAACCTAACCAATGCGCATTGGGCCGGGCATCCCGGTGGGCACTCTCCTCCTCCTGTGTTATCTGCTGCCCAGGCCCCCGTCCCAAGGCTTTATGCCCCACAGCTCTTAGTCCTCAGTCCCTGGGATGTGCCCTCCCAGACAGATTTTAGAGGAATCTTAAAGTCCCCTTTGGGTAGGGAAAATTGTTGGCAGTTCCTCCAGGGTTGATCTTGGCTCATTTTGGAGAACAGTTCATGTTTGCAGAGCCTAGAATTCATTGTCATGGTTACATGGCCCAGCCAGCTAAGCTCGGGGCTGGTGGTATGTGCTTGGTGACTATTTTTAGAGGGTCCCTTTTCCTCCTCCCTCCACCGCCATACACTCCCCCTCTCCATCCTCCTTCCCTTATCTTTTCTATGAGCTTCTCTCTGGCACTGCGTTATAACCAGTTTGTGCTAGCCATCGGGGCGTCAGGCCGCCGTAGACAGTTTAGCCTGGAAAGTTCAGGTTTGCGGTTTGTGCGGCCGCTGGGGTGTGGAGGAAGGCAGGCAGGTGGTAGTCCAGGAACAGCGCCAGGGAAGCTGGTCAGGGGTAGTCGGGCTGCTGTGTTAGCACCGTGGAGGTTGGATACCTGAGTCCACCTGGAGAGGATACATGTGCTAGCCCGGCCCTGACGAGTGCTCACACGTGCTGTGGCGGTGAGCAGTCATGGGGAGGCCATGGCTCCTGTCCCCAAGGCCGGCCCTGCATCAAGAATCTAGGCCCCAGCCCTGGAGGACCTGAGCGCAGGGCAGATTTTCAGCATCAGGACTCAGCTGTAGGTGGGCTCCCAGCTCTGGGAGCCAGACGGAAGCTTCAGTACCGGACACAAGGCCAGATAGCCGTCAGGGTGGGCAGATGGGATGTAGAGTCCTCTGTGCCCTGATGGCCGGACCCTTCAGGTCCCTCAGAGTAGAGAAGGGGCTGTTCCCAGAGCCTGGCGGTAGAGCAGCCTCGCACCTGGGGAGGGCAGCCTGCAAGTCATCTCACCTGTGACTGTTTGTCCAAGTAGTTTGGAAAGCGAGGCACCATCACAGATGCTCCCGGCTTTGACCCCTTGCGAGATGCTGAGGTCCTGCGGAAGGCCATGAAAGGCTTTGGTGAGAGACCCCGGGTGGCTCAAATCCTACCCCACCATTTCCCAGGCAGTTTCATGGTGGCTCTGTGGGATAGGGGTTGGGCGGTGTGGCAGGCCTGGTCCCCATGTGATGGAAGCAAAGGTGGCTGTGGGGGTGTGGTTGGGATGCCAGGAGAGTCCCCAGCTGCAGAGCACCCTGTGAGCCCAACCCTGTCCCCCCACTCTCCCCCAGGGACGGACGAGCAGGCCATCATCGACTGCCTGGGGAGCCGCTCCAACAAGCAGCGGCAGCAGATCCTCTTGTCCTTCAAGACAGCTTATGGCAAGGTGAGTTGGGGGTGTGGGGGGACAGCAAGGCATATCCTTGGCTCCAGCACAGCCCTGCTCACCCTGCTTTCCCGGGGGGTGGGGGCAGGTGGCCTGGATCTCCTGGATGGACAGTAAGGTGCACAAGGGCATTTCCTGCTGCCAATGGCCACCACCTGGTGGCATCTTATTTAGAGGTGAAAGATGCCATGAGGGAGAAACCCCAGAGCCATAGGGTACCAGGTTTAGAAGAGGCTTCAGACGTCTGGTTTCCAGCCCAGCTCTGCGTGGCTCACTGAGGTTGTGGCCATGTCATCCCCCTCCCTCCCTACCCAGCCCTCAGTCTCCCTCCCCTGCCCTCTTGTGAGCACCATAGGAGCTTCCGCTCATGGAAGAGCTTTTAAGGAAAAGGCTTTGAGTACTGAACAAGTACAAGGGGAGTGTATTTTGAACTTTGGGGGTTTTGAATCTTAGATAAAAATTGGGTAAATTTTAGAGAGGTTAGTAGTGTTCTAGCCCAGTGCTTCTCAAACTTTAACAGGCCATGAGTCTCCGTAGTGTCGTGTTAAAATGCAGGCTCTGATGTGGGAGGTCTGGTCAGGGGCCGGAGTTCAGGCATTGCCCCCAGGCCCGCAGGTGATATGGGTGCTGCTGATCCTCAGATCCGGGAAATTGTTCTTAGTCACCTTCTGTGCATTCTCAAAATAGGCCTGTTTCTTTTGTTTGTTTGACTCTCCAATCAGGATTTGATCAAAGATCTGAAATCTGAACTGTCAGGAAATTTTGAGAAGACAATCTTGGCTCTGATGAAGACCCCAGTCCTCTTTGACGTTTATGAGATAAAGGAAGCCATCAAGGTGTGTACGTGTTTGTGTGAACGTGTGTGTGTGCGCGCGCGCGCGTGTGGACGTACAGCCCAGAAGGAGGCCTGGACCACGAGCTGTGTTATTAGCTGCTGTGGTCAGTGCGGCTCCTGGACCCTCCCGGGTTGGAGTCCACGTGCTGCAGAAAGGGGAACTCCCAGTGGTTTCCCCAGGAAGCGAATGTGTCATTTATTGAGCATCTAAATTTCTCTCCATCTTAAAATGGGGGTTGTGGGAAGACCTAGTGATCAGTCATAAGAAGAGAGGCAGGGTCCGTGGTTGGTACCGTTCTCATTCATTATGACTCTGTTATTAGCAAATAACAGAAACATGCTAGAGCTTAAAGCAAGACAAAGGTGGAAAATCAGTTATCAGGATAAAAATGAGCTTCCTGGCATGAAGAGGGAAGGGACCAGGGGTGTCAAGTGAGGAGACCTGGGCAGGATTTCTCTTGTCTCTGCTTCTTCCTGAGCGTCCGCTTCATTCCTCTGTTTGCTTCTGGGCTTCTCCTTCCGAGGCTGCTCCCAGGGGGTGCCTGTCGCCGCTCTCTATTTGCCCCTGAGACCCAGCTACGGAAGAGAGCGGCTGTCTCCACCGCATTCCACACAGGGGCAGGTTGGACTGGCTCCACCTGGGCTCACTATCTCCCCCAGTCCAGTTGGTTTTGACCCAGTGCAGGGTGCTGTCCATCCTGTCCAGTCCTGCAGCTCTGTGGGTGGGGAGCAGGCAGCGCCCACGGAAGGAGGAATCCCTGTGAATCGGACAGGAGCCCCAGACGGAATCTACTCACCAGAGGCCCCATGGGCACAATGATTTTTCCCTCCCCCAGAAGGAGAAGCAGGGGGTGCAGCATGGCGGCCTGCAAGGGAGAGTGGGCGCTGCGAAGCACATCTGCCTGCTTTATTCCAGGGAGGGGCTCAGGAGGCAGTTGGGGAGGGTGATGGAGACCTGGGGAGTGGCCCCCAGACATCTGTCCAGCTCCCGTCTCCAGCAGGATTCATGAGATGGTGGTTGTGAGTGTGGACAGACGTTAACACAGGTGTGGTGTCAGCTGTCGCTTGGCAGCTGTGTGTCCGTGAGCATCTGTCTGTGAGGTGGGGACGGTAGATCTCTCAGGACACATGGTCAGCTCTGGGTAAGGTGGCTAACACGTGAGCCCTTTGCAAATGCCGGGTAAGCTGACAGTGGCAGTATCGATAATCGGTAATCATAAAAATAGCTGCCACAAGATCATACTTCCTGCCTGACAGTCACAAGTGCCCTACATATGTTAACTCGTTTAATCCCTGTGACTTCCCTGTGAGGTAGGTACTAGCATCATTCCCGTGTTATAGACAAGGAGCCAGAGACACAGAGAGGTTAAGTGATGTGTCCAAGGTGACACAGCTAGTAAGCCACAGAGGCTACTGGCCCTGTCCTCTGCCTTGTCGCTTAGTGTAGCATCCCATTCATTCTCCTTGCTGCTGCCTTTTCCTGGATGTCTCCAGACACGCCACAATCCACTCCAGGACTCTAGTTTTTCCTCATGTCCACTCTGATCTTATTTGCTTTTAACCCACTTTCTCAGTTTGTCTTCTCACTCATGGCTGAACTCAGAATGAAACAGACCTTGGTCTATATCTTAACCTGACCATTTATTGTGTAGCCTTGGACAAGTCCCTACACCTCTCTGATTCTCAGTTTTCTGATCCATGGGGATGCCCCTTCATGTGACCCCCTACTCATCACCATTGTCACTGTCATTATCTGGTGCTTTCCTAGGGCTATGGAGGGAAGCTGGCACTCCAGGCCTGGGAACAGCATGATGGGTGTGTCTTGTCAGGGCCTGTGTTGCTGGGTTTTGTGCCCTGGGGTCAGGGCAGTGCCGTGGCAGCTGCTCTCTTTCCTGGATGCTGGTGAGGGAGCTGTCACAAGCGTGTGGTTTGTTGTATTCTCTGCCGCCTCAGGGGGCTGGCACCGATGAAGCCTGCCTGATTGAGATCCTCGCTTCCCGCAGCAATGAGCACATCCAGGAGCTGAGCAGAGCCTACAAAACAGGTCAGGCTGGGCCCAGGCCCTCTGCAGCTCCCTCTGCTTCCTGGGCCTCGGCCTCTCCCAGAGCCTCTGATTCCTTGCTGGCCTTCTTATCACTCTCTCCTGTCACCCCCAACACACTGGGCTTTGACCCAAGACCCAACCCTGTTTGCGTATGATTTGCTGTTTGCACATGGTTTTCCCAGCCCTCCTATCTTAGTCACTTACCTTAGACTAAGGTAGGAGGGCTGGGAAAACCTCTTGGGTGTTGTTTGAGCCAAGCTGGACCAGAGGCCAGGTCAGCCTGGAGGTCACAGGCTTGTAAGCCCCTGGAGGGCCACATGGGCCACCTGTCTCCTCACACCTGAGACCCCACCAGGGTCCACTGTCAACCATATCTGCTGTGGGCAGCTCCGTACATGGTGTTCAGAGTGGGTCTTCTCTGCTTATCCCTTTCAGAATTCAAGAAGACCCTGGAGGAGGCCATTCGAAGTGACACATCAGGGCACTTCCAGCGACTCCTCATCTCTCTCTCTCAGGTATGTTTCCCAGGAGGGGAAATCAGAGAGGTGGGACCGAGCAATGAGGCAAAGGAAGGAGATGGGGAGGGAGTGGGCTTGACCATACGACCTGCTTCCTTGCAGGGAAACCGAGACGAAAGCACAAACGTGGACATGTCCCTCGTCCAGAGAGATGTCCAGGTGAGTGTGAGGCCAGCCACCCCACCTGGGCTTCCTAAACCAGAAGTGTTTCCCACTTTCTTGCTTCATGAGAGAGGTGCTTGGGGATGGAAAGAGCAGTAGTTAAGGAGTGGGTTCCAGAAGTTATGAGTTTCAGATGTGCTCTGCTGCTTCTCAACTGTGCAACATTATGCATGTCACCTAGCCTTCATTTGGGCTTCAGTTTCCACATATATAAAAGGGAACATGTGAGATAATAAATATTGCAATGGTTCATAGATCACAGTTATGGGCGTGGGATTTCATGTGACTTGGTTTCCCCATGTTTCATTGTGTATACCTTTATGTTTGTAAAGTGGCAGAATTTGCACTTGCCTATTAAGCTTTTGAGGATTTGAGCCTAGAAACCTGCTGTCACATTAGTTGTACAGCTTTGGAATTCTGCCCTTGTCCTCCTTGTGAGTTGCAGATAAAAAGGGGAAAGTCCAGGCATCTGAGCTCCTCTCTAGAGAAGTTCGGGCCACCCACGCATGAATTTAGACCAGAGTATTCTGGCTGCAGAGAGCCATGGTTTCCTGGTAGGTTAGAACTGGCCCTACCTTGATTTGTCCCCCTTCATTACTCCTGCCACCCATGGCAGGGCATTCACCAGGAACTGCTGGTGATCAGGGTGGGACAGGACCTTGTGGAATGCCCCCTTGTTGGGTCTGGAGGAGAGCTACTCTGTGGTCTCATCCCTCTGCTTTCCAGATGAGGAAACTGAGGCTCAGAAAGGTTGAGCACTGTGCCTAGAGAAACCTAGAGACAGAGTCCAGCCCCATAGCTCTGTTTTCTTTGCGAAGGTAACACCTGTCTTTGCCTTGGTCCCAGACCTGCCTCAGTTTCTCCCTGGCCTGTGATGTCCATTCCCATTTCTGGATCAGGGCTGGACCTCTGAGGCTCCCAGGCCCAGTTGCAAGGTCTGGTGCTCTACTTCTCAGTTCCAGACCTGCTCCAGCCTTATCTTGATCTGTGAGGTCTCTGAGCCCCTGACTGCTGCCTTCTGCCCTCGGGTATCAGTGCCCTTATGTCCAAGGGCTGCTACCTGAGGCTTAGAAGGCACTTTAGGCTGGCGCAGTGGCTCACACCTGTAATCCTAGCACTCTGGGAGGCTGAGGTGGGAGGATCACTTGAGCTCAGGAGTTAGAGACCAGCCTGAGCAAGAGCCAGACCCCGTCTCTACTAAAAATAGAAAAATTAACTGGATATGGTGGTGCGTGCCTGTAGTCCCAGCTATTTGGTAGGCTGAGGCAGGAAAATCACTTGAGCCCAGGAATTGGAAGTTGCAGTGAGCTTTCATGACACCACTGCACTCTGGCCTAGGCAACAGAGTAAGACTGTGTCTCAAAAAAAAAAAAAGAAAAAAAATAGGAGGAGAAGGAGGAGGCACTTTAAGGGCCATGTAGTTCAGAGGTTGCAAATTGGCCAATATTTTGAGCTCAAACCTTCAAAAGTTTAACAGGCAAATGTAAATTCTGCTCCTTTGCAAACATAATGATAACATGCAATGAAACATGGGGTAGATAAAAAATTACATGAACTCCCACATCCAGAACTCTGATCTTATCTAGAACTGTGATCTATCAACTGTTGCAATGTTTATTGTCACACATGTTCCTTCTTGGAGATAGGGAAACTGCTTTTCCAGAACTTACACAGAGATGTCTGGATTTTTCTCTCTGGCAGCTGTGAGCCTGTGTGCCTCTATCAGAGTGCTCAGCAGGTGCCGAGAAGTAACCGCCCCACTGCATGGTTAGCCAGGGTCGCCCCGCCTCAGCTTTACAGCTGGCCTGTTTCTCAAAGCTGGGTCAGCTGGCCTCTTTGGGCTTTCCAGTTTGCAACCCCAAATCTCATCCAGCCTTCACATTTTAGAAATGAGGAAACTAAGGCTTAGAGGGGGCCAGTGGCCTGCCTAGCATCCCAGGGCAAGTTGGTAGCAGAGGCAGGACTTGAGCCCAGGCCTCTCATTCCGTGTTCTTCTCTGCGGCTCTACTCCCTCGGTTGGGTTAAGGGTTCAGGCTGTTCTTTTCCTGACCTGCGGCCCAGTCGGCCTTGGCTGTCCTGGTCCAAGTTTTCCATAGCCTCAGTCCTCTGTGCCACCCAGTGAGGGGGCGTGTGCAGGTGTCTGGTTCAGCACAGTGAGTGGAACACAGCAGGGACCCTCTCACCCAGGCACTGCTCCCATTTCCTAGGCGACTGGGGCCTCAGGCCTGGGTCTGGGGTGGGGCTTGCACTGCATATGCGTCTTCCTCTCTGTCCAGGAGCTGTATGCGGCCGGGGAGAACCGCCTGGGAACGGATGAATCCAAGTTCAATGCCATTCTGTGCTCCCGGAGCCGGGCCCACCTGGTGGCAGGTAAGACAGGCCTGGCTCCCTCTAGGGCCAGTTGGGTGAGGGCAGACAGGGCACTGTGGGGAAACAGCTGCCCTCAGGTGTCAGTGCCAGAATCAGGCCAGCTGTAAAGCTGAGAAGAGGGACCCTGCGAACACTTGTGGTCCCTCTGCTGAGACTTTTGCATCCTCAGAAGAGCCCCCTGGTGGTGGTTTGCAAGGTATGGTAGTAGGATTTCCTGAGTCTGGCAAGTGCTGGGTTCCTGAGAAAGTGAAGGAAGAAATGAGGAAATGGGCGCTTCTGGTTGCCCAGCATCTTTTTACGCTACAATGTGGAGCATTAGAGTTGGACGAGCCCTTTGGGAACACCTGATCCACTGTTTTCCAAAGCGCAGCATAAAAAACAAGCATAACTATAACACTAAGCAACATTCATTTACTCATTCATTCAACAAACGTAAATTGAGCTCCCGCCACGTGCCCGTCTATCAGGTGTGGGGCGGGCGTGAGGGAGCCGTAGGGGACAGAGCACTGCAGTCTGTGCTCGGGGCACCTTTTTGTTCAGAGAGACAGACAATAAACAAATGAGATGAAATCTGTGTCGGATGATGAGTCCTGCAGAGAAGAGTAAAGCTGGAAGCAGGGTGGGGAGTGCCGGCGTGGTCCCCACTGAGGCAGTGGCTCTGATTTAAAGACCCAAGGGAGGCGCAGGTGCAGAGGCCCTACACGGAGGCTCCCAGCAGCTGAGGACAGTGCAGCCTTGTGGAACAGACAGAGTGAGGGAGGCCAGTAGGAGGTGAGGGCAGAGACAGGACGAGCCCTGCTGAAGTCTTTACGGAGTTAGGTATTTATCTTGAGAAAAACAGAGAGCCACTGGAGGGCCCCTGGTAGAGGTGGCTGGGCACGCTCCCTGGCTGCAGTGCTGAGAATGGAGTGAAGGGGTCTCTGGCCAAGCAGGGGAGCCATCAGGAGGCCACGGTGACCCAGGGGAGAAACGGTGGTGGCTCAGACCAGAGTGGTAGGGCAGGGCAGGGGGTGAGGAGGGGCAGGTTCTGGCCCTGCTTGCTGATGACTTGCACGTGGTGCGTGGGAGGAAGAAGAATCAGGACTGATGTGGGGTCTCTTTCAGCTGAGCCGGGGGAGCATGGAGTGGCCCTGGGCTGGGACTGGGGAGCTGTGGGTGGAGCAGGCTTTAGGCAGGAGGACAGCAGAAGCCTGAGGGGTGGAGGTACAGGGAGGCAGTGGGCCAATGAGGCTGGAGGACAGGAGGGGTCCACACTGGGTGTGGAAATTGGGAGCTGTGAGTGGCTGAAGGTGTCAGGCTCTGGGACTCCAAAAGGCCCCCTTGGGAGGGAGAATTGAGGGGTCCCAGTGGTTTGAGGACAGGGTGCTGAGCCAGTGAAGGAGACTAAGAAGGAGCAGCTGGTTGAGGTGGGAGGACCAGGGGAGGGGAGTCTGGGAGGCCAATGTGTTGGAATGGCCCCTGTGAGTGGCAGGTGAGGTCTGAGGACAGTGACTGCACTGAGCAACGTGAACGGCTCTGCACCAGGCCCTGGGCTGAGTGCCAAACGCAGAGTGCCGAACGCATGCTAAGTCCTTGATACGTGTGTCAGGTGCTGTGGACCTTCCCATTTCACAGCCATGGCGGCAGGCACAGGGTGGTTGGGGAAGCCGGGTGGCACAGCTAGAAATGGCTGAGCTCGGATTTGAACCCAGACCTCCTGGCCCCAGCACACACATTTCAAGCTCTATACTATCCTGTGATGGGGCGTGAGTGAACATATTTTCATCTTGATCATTATTTATTGTAAAGAGCATAGAATATACAAGTAGCACATCAAGTCCATGATTATTTTTTAGGAGAAAAGAGCAGCTGAGTTGAAGAATATATTCATTAAAATGGATACAGATATAGCAGAAATCACAACTTTGGTATGCAAGTGGAAACTGAGACCCAGGTTGGGGAAGGAGAGGTTTATATTCAGGGCAGAGCTAGAGCTGGTAGGACAAGGTCTCCATGGTGCCAGCTGCCTCTCTGGGAGCCAGCAGTCCAGTCCCCCGGGTGCTCAGCTTTTCCTAGGTTGAGTTGGGCCGGGGGGCAGGGAGGGCAGCAGAAAGCAAAGCTGGCTGGAATGACTGGGCCCCAGCTCGCAGTCGGACTGAGAAGGACTGATGCTTGGGCTGCTGTGACAAAGTACCACAGACTGGGTGGCTTAAACAACAGATACTCACTTTCTTATAGTCTTGGAGGCTAGAAGTCCAAGGTCAAGGTGCAGGCAGGGTTGGTTTCCTGCCTGGCTCTGTGCTCACGTGGTCTTTCCTCCACATAGGCACGTCCCTGGGATCTCTCTGTGAGACCAGTCAGATTGGATTAGGGCCTTGATGTAATTTAATTACCTCTTTAAAGACTTTATCTCCAAATACAGTTATATTCTAAGGGATTGGGGGTTGGGACTTCAACATATGAATTTTAGCTGGGGGGGGAGCATAATTCAGTCCATAACATATCCCTTTTGTCTTCCTGCTAGTTTTCAATGAATATCAGAGAATGACGGGTCGAGACATTGAGAAGAGCATCTGCCGGGAGATGTCTGGGGACCTGGAGCAGGGCATGCTGGCTGTGGGTGAGTGTCTTGCCTTGCCTGCCCGCCTAGCCACCGGGCTGGCCTGTCCTGTAAGTTCTCAGGACACTCACCCATCCTTAGTTTAGAGGTGTTGTAATGAAAGAACCACAGAATCCAAAATTGCTAAATCCGGCTGTCTGAATAGTGGGAAGTCATGCTGCTTCCCAGATCGCTGCGCTGTCGAGCCCCCAGCTGTCCCGGAGGTGTCCTGTTTGTGTTTCCAGAGTGGCCCTGGAGAAGGGAGCTGCAGTGTGGGTATTTGTGGGAAGGCATCCAGCTGCTCTCTTGGAGGAAGATGACTCATATCCTGCCAAGTTTCCTCTAAAAATACATCCCTGCAGGCAGTTGTCAGATGTTTGTGATGGAAACACGTGGAAAGATTTTTACTTGCAACAGCAAAACAGGCCCCTGCGGAGGAGGGCTGGCTTAGCTCCCGGGACGGCGCTGTGCCTCCTACAGTGCCTGTGCCCTCCCAAGCGGGGCCTGGCGGGCTGCAGGTCTCTCCCCTGCGACATGGAGTTGGGCCCATGCTCTGTGGCCCTCAAAACCCTCTTATTCACATGAGAAAATCAGTTTGCTTATCTTTTGGCTGTGCTTTTCTTGGGGCTTCCTGGGTACAGCAAATGGTAAATCCTCATTTCCCTCAGTGTCACCCTGGCAGGTCCTATGACCCAAGAGCCCTGGGGAGACACTCATGCCGCTTGGCCTCCCGTCCTCTGTTAGAGTCTTGGCCTCTCCAGTGTGCCCCTCCTGCCTGTGCAGCAGCACGGTTCCACATCCCGTCCATGCTTCATCCCCTCTCGGTTCCAGCCTCACTAAATCCCTGGCCCCTCTGGTTCTTTCACCACAGTGGTTGCCAGGAAAGAGGTTGGGTTGGTGTCCAGGCTCTGCCTGTTTCTGTTCCAAAGAGCTGGGGCCGAGATCATGGGGTAATGGAGCCTGCAGAAGGAGGAAGGGAAAGACGATGGATGCAGTGATGCATTTGATATTGGGGCCTCCTCAGAGGACACTTGGGTACTCCTTGCCCCCTTGGGCCGACAGTTTTCTGCAGATCTAGTTATGCTGAGTTTCTCTCTTCTAGTGAAATGTCTCAAGAATACCCCGGCCTTCTTTGCTGAAAGGCTCAACAAGGCCATGAGGGTACGTGACTCCCGTGTGCAGAGGACCCAGGGCTGAGGGTGGGAGGCTCAGGGAGGCCCCGGGAGGGTGGGGAGGCGAGGAGGCCTGTCGCTCATGCTCCTGGGTGGACCCTCTTTAGGGAGCAGGAACGAAGGACCGGACCCTGATTCGCATCATGGTGTCGCGCAGCGAGGTCGACCTCCTGGACATCAGATTGGAGTACAAGCGGATGTATGGCAAGTCACTGTACCACGACATCACGGTACGAGCCCACTGCGGGCTGACCGGGCTACCTTTGGGTGTCCCCATCACCTGTGCACCTTTCTGGCACCCCACCTTCTCTCCCATGTGCTTGGCCTCTGTGCCATGAAGGGGCAACTTGTTTGCGGACCTCAGACTTGTTCTTTTCAACTTGTTCATCTAGTTGCCCCCGAACAGATTATAATCTCCTGAGGGCAGGGCGGGTCTTGGGCCTGACCTTCAGAGTCCCGGCCACAGTGCGAGTCTGTGATCTATCCGTGAGCACCCACATTGGCTCTGGCTCGCTCAGCTCTATGGCAGAGGCCACGGGGTCGGACAGTCAGAGTGAGAGCTCCAGGCTCACACTGCTTGGAGTCCAATCCCGGCTAACTGTGATCTCCAACAGCTTCCTTAAACCTCTTCGCTCCCGGGCTCCATCATCTTTATGATGGGGAAAATAATAGTTCCTCCCCGAGAATGTCGTGGGTGTGGAACACGGCAGTGCACGGAAAGTGCCTAATAAACACTGGCCCCTGTGTACCGCTGTGCGCCTCAGCCAGGCTGACAAAGCTTATTCTTGTCTGGGCGGTCTGACAGTCAAATCCTGAACTCACGTGAACCTTGAAATTGCATCACGGGGACCGGGTTCTGACTTCAGACCCACTAGCGTCTGATGGAGTTGGCCTGCTGTTGAGGGAAGCCACCTCCAGGCCACAGGAAGGACTCTGTGGGTAGAGAGTGAGTGATGGCTCGCAGAGTACCTTCTGGGTGCCTACGGGCTGTGCACAGCAGGGAGAAGCCGTAGGCCTCACCCTCGGATTGCTTAGAGTGGAGGGAAATGGTTAGGAATTAGCCAAGCCGGCCTGCGCTCCTGGAGTGAGTGCGGCGGTCTCAGATGGAGGAGAGATTTATGGGAACTGGGTGGCCTGAGTCCTCCATTGGGTGGTCACACACGAGATTGTTTCTGGAGCAGGACTCACCATTTCGTAATGGTATAACCCCCCCATTTGGTGCAACATAAATGCACTGGGGAAAGAACAGTATTGGTTAGCTCTGGGTAGTGGTTTTTAGGCTGATTTAAAATTTTTTTGTGATTATCTGATTTGGATAATTGGGGCAAGTGCAGCTTTTTGTTTTTTTAATGGAGGCCTGGGGAGGGAAGGCTGACCTGCGCCGTGTGACGCCTGTGCCGCCTGCTCCGGGCCCAGCGGGATGGAGCCTCCCTGGGCCGCGGCCTGCCTCTCCATAGGGCACTTGGGCCACAAGAGAATCAGGAGCCGGAAGCTGTGCCTCCCTCAGCTGACACTGCTTTGTTTCTGTGGCCAGGGAGATACTTCGGGGGATTACCGGAAGATCCTGCTGAAGATCTGTGGTGGCAACGACTGAGCAGGGACTGGTGGCTCGCTCTGCCCCAGCGGCAGTGCCAGGAAAAGGCCAACAGAATGTCTGGTTCCGACAAATCCACAAATAGCCCCAAGGTGTGCCGTCCCCCACCCCTGCTGACCCGTGTATTGTGCTGCAGGACCTGGGTCCTTCTAGAACTCTCTCAGGACGCCTTTTCCACTCCACCCCCCACGGCCTCTTGCTGCTCAGTAGATGTTTTAGTTCCTGACTCGTGCCGTCATTCCACTCTGCTTGTGGCGAGGATTCTCGCCTTCATTGTAGTCATGTGATTTTATATTTTTATGGAAAGGCATATTTTCTTTCTCACAGTCATTGCCAGCCAAGGTGCACATGAGTCTGTTTGCTGCATACACATTTCTGGGGAGAGTGACTGGGAGGGAGAGCGCCGTGTCCTCACTGAGGAGAAAAAGGGAGGACCCTGAAGGTTAATCTTCACGTCTGGTGAGAATGTGTCACTAGCTTTGTTATTGCCAAACTCACTCCTTTTTAGAAAAAAAGAAAAAAGACCAGAAAGTCATGTATTTGTTCCATCTTCCTTGCAAAACCACAGGAACAAAGCCAGTCTCTGCCAGTGACAGGGCTTCTTGTAATTTGGAATGTGCCTTAAATATGAATGTCTATAGCCAAAATCTGTTTCCAAATTAAAAGCCAGCCAGCTCTGGAACATTCTGGAAATGTCTTTGTCGTGCCAGCTTATTTTCTTCTGCTTCATGATTCTGCCCTGTGGCTCAGGGTTCTGGCCTTATTAGCTTATTAGCCAGCAGAAATTCACATAATTTTAAGTAGAAGCGTGTGCTCAGGAAATGCTGGGCATAAGGTCATTTGTAGGGCCTGGAGGAGGAGGGCTCCTGCAATCCATGGCGGGGGCACAGATGCTGGAGGGGCGCAGGGATGTTGGTTGGGCACAGGTGCCGTCCACTGAAGGTGAGGTGGGCAGAGTGTGGTCCTTCACCCAGGTCCTGAAGGAGGGCACAGTGGGTAGAGGGTGTGTGCTAATTCCTGGGGTCTCTCTGCAGGGGGCCAGAGAGGAGGATGGGGACAACCCACACAGGCCCAAGACCAGCGCCTTCCCTCAGAGACCCTCCAGTCTGAAAGGTGCTCATGGCCCTGGTCCCCAGCAGGCCCTGTGCCCTTTGGTTGGTTGTGTTTGGGGGAGGGGGAGTCCAGAAGGGACAGAATTTCTAGGAATCATGGTGTCATGTCCAGAAGCCCAGAGCTGGCCTTGCTGGTCAGGGGTCTCCACTCACTTTCTGGCCTCCTGTGTTGAAAAGTTTGTAAAGCAGGGAATCCAGAGAGACTAGGCTAGATCATCAAGCCTGCTGGGTCCTGTTAGGGGCCCGAGGGAGTCGCTTGTCTGCAGAGTAGACATTTGCTTGGGGGCACCACCTGACTCCTCACTGCCCCCAAACATAGTGAGAGGAAGGGTGAGACCCAAGGGGTGTGGCGCAGCCGTGAGCTGGGCACTGGCCTGGTCTACCTAGACCTGCCTTCCTGAGCCAAAGGCTGGTGGACGCTGCAGTTGATGGCAGGTCCCGATCAATGTGTCAACTCTGGCCCAGTGTCTTTGCCTGCAGCCCAAGCTGAAGCCCCACCCCTGTGGCCTCCCAAGAACCCCTCCCCAAGAGCAGCTGCTTGCCCTTAAGTGCCAGGTGGGACCTGCCTGATGGCATGAACTGCTTGGCATTATACAGCTTACCATGAACTCAGGCTGGTCCTGGTGGCCTCCTGAGCTGCGACAGTGCTCTCATGTGACTGAATGCTCGGTGACATTACTTTGCCCTGTTATCTAAGCCAGAGGTCTCAGCCTGGTGCCCAGCAGGCAGTATCAAGCCTATAGAGGCATTTACTTGGGTCCTCAAAGAGTCTCTAGAATATTTAACTTGTTGCCAACATTTAAATATTGAGAGATTTTATATTTTTAAAAAACCTGGACTCCTGGCTTCTCTTGAAAACCCAGAACTTCTGGCATTACTGGGCCTGCATTCCCGCATGGCTACAGCTGAGTTGCAGCTGCCTGCTTTAGGCGGGTACTCTCTGTTTGCCCCACCACTCCCTATTGTATTACACCAAGTCCATGTTACTTATTTGGTCCCTGCAGGCCTTTGAGTTTGAGAGCCCTGGTCTACCCACTTCGGGACCACCTGTGCTTTTCCCAGTCCTGGTTCTCCTGCCTTCCTATCCCTCTGGCTGTCCTCTTGGTCATGGCCAAGGGATCTGACCCATGGTAAGTGTGGGCTAGAGGACTTCGAGAATTCACTAGAAGCAAAGGCCTCCAAGGTCAGTGGGAGATTGGGATCAACACTGTTGATTATGCTTAGGACAGAAAAGGTGAGAGGAAGACATGTGACATTACAGGTGATCTTTCTGAGAGAGAACACTGGGTCTCGTCTTGCCTCCTGGAGATATTAGTCAAGTCCAGTCTGTCTACACACACCTGATCTCACTTCTAAACTAGCAAGTAGAGGATGAAGCATCAGATAAATTCTGTCCTGAGTGCATTTTCAGCAGCTGTGGGGGTATTGAAAGGAACACTTCAGCCAGTACTAGAAGTAAAAAAAAAAAAAAATAAAAAAAAAAAAAAAAGAAAAAGAAAGGAACACTATCTGTTAGGGCGGGACCAGGACTAAGGTGAAGAGAGTGAGGTGTTTGTCTCGAGTACAAACTTAAGAAAGCAGCCTTGGAGCACTCCCTTAGTGGATGGGTAGACAGTCCCAAAGTGGGTGGTTTTCTCAAGCCCTAGTGTGCATCAAGATCATCTGGGGAGCTTGCTAAAGAGCAGGTCTCGGGCTGCACCCTCACAGATTCTGAGCAGGTGTGGGGCTGGGAAACTGCATCTGTCACCTGCTATCATCTGATGCTGATCTAAATGTTGCTGTGGTGAGGCAGAGAACTGCTCCAGACCAGAGGTGTTCATGCAGAGGGCAGATAGCAGGGTGTGCTTGGAATTCAGTCGGGTGATGGGAGATGGGATGAGGCACTCCTAGCTTTCGGAAGAGGGATCTGAAAGATGAACCTTTGCAGATGCCCATGGTCAAAGCAACAGCTGAATGCCATGCCATGCCCATCCTCTGTTGGCCTTGGCAGGGAGTTATAGTCCTCGCCTAGGACCTGACCCCTTATTTTTGCTATAGGCTCTTTCCTGCCCTGGCTGATACAGAGTGGAATGAGACCTGGAAATGAATCAAGCTGAATACATTTCTTCAGGCAGATAAAGGCTTGCATTTCACCCCATCAAACCTGAAAACTCTCTCTGCCTGTGTTCCTCTAAAAGACAGGGACATCATGACTCAGTCCCTCACCAGGCCCCATACAGGATCCCCTTTCAGTAAGAGTCAGTCAACCCCCCAGCTCTACCAGGGACTCTTACCCCTGGCCCCTGCTCCTTGGAACGCTGCCCCTTGGCATAATACCCATGTCCAGCCTGAGCCTGGTGCCTTCTCAACAGTAAGAGCTAATGTAGTCCTGAAGCAAAAGGAGCTCTGGCCTGAGAATCTATTCCAATCTCAGCTCAGCCACTGTGACTGTGACCATGTGACCCTTCTTTGAGCCTTTGTAAAATGAGGGGTAGAGTAGATGAGAACTTCTGGAACTTTAACTTGGTCATCCAAAAATGGTGGAGTAGAGAGCTCCAAAAGTCCATCCTTTCACAAAAGCAGCAGGCAAGCTGGCAAAAACTGTCAGAATCAACTCTATTTGAACTCTGGAAACTAATTGAAAGTTTACAGCAACCGGGGGAATGCTTAAAAAACAAATCTGAACTCAGTAAGAGCTTTGTTGTGTTTTAGCTTATGTTTGCCCCATTCCCCACTCCCCAGCTTGGCAGCAGCATCACAAACAATATCCCATGTTCTCTATATGTAATGTTCCTAGCACCGAAGGAAGCAGAATCAACCTTATTCTCAAGAAGCATGGTTTTTATTTTGATCTGTCAAGTTGCTCCCTGAAAGACAGGCTTAAATGGCTTGCCTAATTTGGAACTCTCCCAAAGTGAAGGTGGCCACCTGGGGGGACATTTCAAAGCCAATGCATTAGCCACCGATGCCTGGGGGAAGGAAAAACAGTTGGGGCAAACAGGAGACCAACCGAAAAGCTTGAGGAGGAAAGGCTGAGGAATAAGATTCTTTGGGGGAATAAGAGCTTTAAAGATCCCCCACGTGTTACTGGGAAACTAGAAGGCCATACGTATGCCAGCGCTGGGCTCATGCTTAGAAAAGACTTGAGAAGGCCCTATGCTCTCACTCCTAGCTGACCTTCCGGCTCTGCACAAGCAAGAAGTGCAGGCTAAGGCAGAGTTATAAACTGCCTGGCTAGGGTGTGCCCCAACACACAGAGAACACATCTGGAGGAGGTTTGAGGGGGCTTGTTCCAAGTGTTTATGGATATCTCTGTTAAATCACTAGCTGACCACTAAGCTAATCAGAGACTTCTGTGGCCACACCTGACAAAGAATACAAACTCTAAGAACTTAGTTCAGAAAAGTAATGAAACAGGCTGGGTACGGTGGCTCACGCCTGTAATCCTAGCACTCTGGGAGGCCGAGGCAGGTGGATTGCTTGAGGTCAGGAGTTCGAAACCAGCCTGAGCAAGAGCGAGACCCCGTCTCTACTATAAATAGAAAGAAATTAATTGGCCAACTAATATATGTAGAAAAAATTAGCCAGGCATGGTGGCACATGCCTGTAGTCCCAGCTACTGGGGAGGCTGAGGCAGGAGGATTGCTTGAGCCCAGGAATTTGAGGTTGCTGTGAGCTAGGCTGATGCCACGGCACTCACTCTAGCCTGGGCAACACAGTGAGACTCTGTCTCAAAAAAAAAAAGGCAATGAAACAAACTACAACAAATACAACAACAACAAATTCTCGAGAGGGGAGAAGAATTTGATTTCTGGATTTGTCACATTGTAATATTCAAAATGTCTAGTTTTCAACAAAAATTATGAGGCATGCAAAGAAAGTATGGCTCATATATAGGGGGGGAAAAGTCTATTAATAGAACTGGAGGAAAGCCCAGACTTTGAACTTAACAGAGACTATGAAACAACTATCTTGAAAATGCTCAAGAGCTAAAGGAAATCAGGAGAATGTTGCCTTACCAAATAGAGAATATGAAGAGATTGAAATTGTAAAAAGGAATCAAATAGAAATTCTGAAATAGAAAAGTACAATACAATGAAAAATTCACTAAAGGGGTTCAAGAGCAGACATAAGTAGGCAGAAGAGGCTGGGCACATTGGCTCATGCCTATAATGCCAGCACGTTTGGAGGCTGAGGTGGGAGAATCACTTGAAGTCTGGAGTTTGGGACCAGACTGGGCAACATAGAGAGACCCTGTCTCTACAAAAAATAATTTTTAAATTTTAGCCAGGTGTGGTGTATGGCCACTGGGGAAGCTGAGACAGGAAGATCGCTGGAGCCCAAGAGTTTGAGGCTATAGTGAGCCATGATCATTCCATTGCACTCCAGGCTGGGTGACAGAGACCCTGTCTCTTAAGAAATTTAATAGCTGCATAGTAGGTACTAATAGCAAAAAAATGAAATAAAAAAATAAAAAGAAATTTAAGAAGGCAGAAGAAAGAGTCAGCAGACTTCAAATGAGGTCAGTTGAGATTACTCAGTCTGAGGTGCAGAAAGGAAAAAGAAAAGAAAAAAAATTAACAGAGCCTAAGACACCTGTGGGACA